CCCGGTTGCCGAATCGGTTGCTAAAAGTTTAGAGGATTTTCAGGCGGGCTCGACATGTTATTGCACTCTCGGAGAAAAAATCAGTTGCGTGCTGCTCAAAGATTCGTGCTGAATTGTACGAACTCTGTAAAACGATTTAATGTATTAATCAGTGAGATTAAATCTCGTACAATAACTAAGTAATTGTTCCATTATCTGAACAATTATGCGACTCTGCTTAGCTCGGGTGATCGAGGTTCTACTGTATTACTTTTTAATTTATTCGAATCACGTTTGTCACAGTCTATCGCAAGAGAAGAGAGTCAAATTAAAATTGATCGTTTCTCTTAGAAACTTCGATAGGTTGCACGTTGCACCAAGAATATTAACCCTTTGCGCTCGAGTGGTGACTCCGAGGCACCACTAAAAAACGTTTATATCTCATTCCAAAATAATTCTTACACGAACGCAATTTACATTTGAAAAATTGTTAAAAGTATAACTATCGTATAAGTCACAAGACTGAATTTTGCACGCGTAAAATGCGCTCTGTCATATAAAATAGAGCGTAGGTCAGAGAAACTATTATAGATTTACAGTTAAAATGGCTTCGAGTGCAAACGGTTAATAAATCCGTCCGATCTTACTTCTGCTTCGTGTTCCGCAGCTTCGTTATTACTCTTCGGTCGAAATACCGAATTACGCGAGTGAAAAGCCGCGGCGAAATCGTCTGGCACAGAACAATATTTCACAGAAGTTACGAGTTTATCCGTGAACTGGAAAAACTGAAATGGAAATATTTGTACACGCCGTCGTGCATGAGAAACAAACATCGAAGCACCGCAATCGGTCTAATCGGTGTCCCGCAATTATGACATCATTGGCGAATGTAACGCGAAGAGTAAGTNTTGTACGAACTCTGTAAAACGATTTAATGTATTAATCAGTGAGATTAAATCTCGTACAATAACTAAGTAATTGTTCCATTATCTGAACAATTATGCGACTCTGCTTAGCTCGGGTGATCGAGGTTCTACTGTATTACTTTTTAATTTATTCGAATCACGTTTGTCACAGTCTATCGCAAGAGAAGAGAGTCAAATTAAAATTGATCGTTTCTCTTAGAAACTTCGATAGGTTGCACGTTGCACCAAGAATATTAACCCTTTGCGCTCGAGTGGTGACTCCGAGGCACCACTAAAAAACGTTTATATCTCATTCCAAAATAATTCTTACACGAACGCAATTTACATTTGAAAAATTGTTAAAAGTATAACTATCGTATAAGTCACAAGACTGAATTTTGCACGCGTAAAATGCGCTCTGTCATATAAAATAGAGCGTAGGTCAGAGAAACTATTATAGATTTACAGTTAAAATGGCTTCGAGTGCAAACGGTTAATAAATCCGTCCGATCTTACTTCTGCTTCGTGTTCCGCAGCTTCGTTATTACTCTTCGGTCGAAATACCGAATTACGCGAGTGAAAAGCCGCGGCGAAATCGTCTGGCACAGAACAATATTTCACAGAAGTTACGAGTTTATCCGTGAACTGGAAAAACTGAAATGGAAATATTTGTACACGCCGTCGTGCATGAGAAACAAACATCGAAGCACCGCAATCGGTCTAATCGGTGTCCCGCAATTATGACATCATTGGCGAATGTAACGCGAAGAGTAAGTTGGACAAGTAACTACCGTTGCGATATTCAATCTGGCGCGACTTAAAGTGTCGTGAACCCGAGGATCGAACTTTTATGCGGTCGATCAGCAGTCTGATGCACAGCCTCGCCAATTGACCTTAGTCCTAGGTTCTTCTGCGTCGAGGAAAATAACGCCGAAGATTTATTAGCGAACAAGTTGACACCTAATGCGGGAACGGATCCGGCAGCGCGTTGACAGCGACGCGCGGGATTATTGCTTTGTCGGTCTAATTCGTGTCAATTCGCGTGACCGGGTCGGTCGGCCGTTTAAACGACACACGCGGACCACGGGTGTCGGATTCGTCGCGGCCTGGCGTCCGAGATACATATTAGCATCACGTGAAAACAATGCAATCAACCCGAACTTCCACTGGCGGCATGTACACTGATGGCCGCGGCGCGGCGTCTCGAAACCGGGACATGGGAACGGCCCGAACGAGACCGGAATTCGGTTGTCGCGTCCAACTTCGGCCAGTTAACGGAAACGCGTCGTTGTCCGGGCCTATGGGTTTCCACAGCTTTGCCCGACCAGTTTATACGCGTCGCGTTTATTTTGATTAGCAGCGCGTATATTTAACTAGCCGCTGATTCTACGCTGCCGCTGACTGATCGCACGGCGAACCCCTCTCGAACGATACGCGACCAATTGATATTCCAAATCGGTTTTAAACGTTAGATAGCGAGTTTATTTTTCCATTTCTGATACGATAAGGGCGAGGTATACCAATTCGAGACACGTTCCTTTGAGAAAATTCGTAATCTAGATTAAACTTTATCGGCCCCTCGTTTCTGCAACATAATCGGTCCGTTGACATCAAATCGACGCAATGGTAACAAACGAATAAGATGGAACAATGAGTGATTAATTAACACGAGGCGAGACAAGCTTTTTTAGTTGATTATCGCGTCCAAAACTAATGAAACTATCTATAGAAAAGATTGTTGCTTCGGCATCTGTAAAAACTGTGTCAAATCGATAACGAGGGACGGACGAGCGTTAAAGATTCCTCCAATTTTTCTGCAAGCTAGTAGAAGTACTGTGAGAGAAAGAGTCGTTTCTTTCACAATAAAATGAAAAAGTAAATTGTGCAAATGAGGGAAAGGGAAAAACTTGATTTCTCGATCTGGACAAATCATTATTTAACCTGCGTAGCATGAGTGCATGCATTATGCGACGGTCGACGCGTTGATAAGATTTTGATGAATTCTATGCACGTCACGTTTACATTTCACACAGCCAATGATCGAATTAAATCATACGTCGTTCCATCGCAAATGGTTAATACATAGTGACAATGATAATAGAACCACAGACCAACAAGGATGTCAATTTGCAACCATTGAAAAAGCACTCTATCACCCGTGATAAGTGACAATAGCCTAGTTTGAACTAGCATCTGGATCAAACCACGTATTAGTCATGTATTACGGCGAATTTTATACATTCGTGACGAAGATGAGTGGTTGAGATATACAGCAGTAGGAAGATTATAAGAATTTAAGAGTGTCAAAAGTATCAAACAAATTTTTGTTTCATCCACGGTCTACTAATGATTGTAATTGACTGTGAATTTTACTCTCAGTCTCATTTTGCTATGTACACGGGTTTCAAATTTTTTATTTGCGATCATCCAGATTGCAAAAAGACACTGTTGTGAGAAATTTATTCGACGAACGTGTTACTTGGGACAAATATTACAATAAAAATCGCAAAATATTCAAGTAAATACATCATTGTTACTCGTGAAAAAAATATAAAATAGCTGTTTTTAAACTATTACTAAACTAGTGAAAATTAACCAGGATTTATACATTTCTTATTTCAGTCGCTGCTTCGAATTCGTCAGCTTTCTAGTGTTCACGAGTGGTCTAATTCAATCCTCTGCTCAAAAGCAAACCGTTTCAAAGAACACAACCTGGCCAAACATCGTCGGTTCCGGAGCATCGCGAAACCTCTTTCAAAGTTTCCATTAATACACCGCCTTAAAAAATGCTCGACATCATTCTCATTTCGTGTTTCGCCGGGGCCAAAAATACGTGGCGCAACGAATTAGGCCGGTCCAGACGAGGGTTTCACGGCAAGCGAATATAGTTCTTTTTTTTTTTATTCGGAGGAGTTTTAATTCCGTCCCTTTAACGACAAGCCGCGGCGCGTCTGTCCATGTCGGACGGGCCAGCTGCCGCGGCGAATGTGGAGCAACGCGCGCGCTTTTCAGTTTAGCCAATTGACAGCGCGATAACTCGCGGCGCCGCGACCAGTTTTGAACTCGGGTGCTTTTCAATGCTCCGGCGACGCCGTTGCTCCATTAAACCCGCGCTCTGGGTGAATGACTTCTCGACGAGCATAGATATGCAACGCGCGGGCCGGCTCGTTACGTCACCGGCGGATTTCGCGGCACGTGCTAACAGTTTACCTGTTGACCTGCCGCCGCACGTGCGCCGACGTTCGGCTCCCAATGCTGCGTGCACATCCCCTGCGAATAGGTGATTAGGGTGCACCGGAACACGAAAATGCCGGGATCCAATGCCTCGCCGCAGCTCGTTTTCCAAACGTGTCGCCGTTTGTCGCACGACTTTTCGAGATTCGCTTCGAGTTTTCTGCAAATCTACAAAATGTAGATTTTTGTGTTTTCGCGTATCAACGATATTTTTCGGGGAAATAGCGGTCGGAGGTTAAATATAGCTTCCCCAGAAGACAAATCACAGACGATGGCTGGCAACTCGGAGCTGTTCAGACGTCAAAATGGTGTGTTCGTTGACACAGTTTCTAGATTAGAGTTCTTTGAGTATGGCAATTCGACGTCGCATCGCTCTCTCTCTTTCTTAACCCCCTTGCGTTGCAGTATTTTTACAGTTTCAACGATCAGAACTTTTTCATTGATTCAAGAATGATTGCAATAGTTTCTTAGGAGAAAACGAAAATATGCACGTTTACTCGAGTGCTTAAATATTGATGACAATAAAACAGCCACATGACGTTCCTGTAAGATCTGATTAAATCCCTAAATCACTCGACGCTAATTATTTCTCTGTCACTCCCGTCGACACGCTAATATTCAGATCATAGCATAATAGTATTAAATCATTTATGAAAATACTTCATTGCACCCACAAATGGGTGACGCGGCTATCCATTATGTACGTGGTTGAAGACCAAACAGTGTTGCAGATCTCGAATTTCGTTAGAAGGTCGAGCAGTTTATCTAATTTTAATTACCGAGCCTCGTAGAATTCTCCAGGTCTCGGTGGCGCAACCTCTCGACCAGGTTTCGCTTGATAAGGAGGAACGGGTTAAAAGGGTTTATCCAACCTCGTTCCAGGTGAACGGGAATGGCGTCCTCTCCTTCGCTAGAGCGATGCAAAGGTTCTTCAACATCCCGTTCCCGCTGGACGATCCGGTTATCGCGCCGCTCTACACCCACGTCGACACGAGAGGCTCCGGAAGGGTCTATTACGGCGAAACAGATTCACCGGAAGTTCTCGCGAGAGCCGGAGGAATGGTGCGACACGCTTTCAAGGACGCGGCTGATTTCGTGCCCACGCACGTGTTCCTAGCCACCTGGCTGGACGTTGGATACTTCAACGAGAAGAGCGACAAGGTATGCGATACGAAATTGTTTATTGTCAACTTTTCAGCCACCCTTTCTCAGTTCCCGTTGCTTCTGCGAGAATAGTCCTGCATGTCGATTCGTCACTCGCGATCGATCTTTTTCGCGTTTTTCTTTTCGATCTCTACAAGATCTTATCATTATTATTATTATATCTTATGATATCTTTTATCATTCTTTTATTTCGTGTCACATTTGACCGTAACTCTTCATTATTACCCTTCTCTGATCCGAGTTTTTTAACGCTTCGATCGCCACGTAAACCATCTCAGGAATTTCATAACATTACAGTATTTTATTTAATTAAATTAAAATTGAAAAGTCGAGTTGTGTGGCATCAATCGTATTTTCAACATTCTTGCATCTATTTTATACACACGGAATATATCTTACAGCGTGTCTTGCGCTATTACGTTATATTAACCCTTTGCACTCGATGCTATTTTACCTGTAAATATAAAATTATTTTTCTAACTTATAGTGTTTTCATTTTATATGGCAAAATGCATTTTATGCATATGAAATTGACTCTTGGGGGTCACACAACAATTACACTCTTAACAGATTTTTTAAATCTAAACTTTGTTGATATAAAAATGATCTTAAAACGTGATGTAACAAATTTTAGTGGTGCCTCAGAATCACCACTCGAGTGCAAATGGTTAATAATTAGCGTACAAATTGATCTTCAGATCCGAGCAAATAATTCCATCACTCAAGTATGGACGACATTGCGGTCAAAGTGTTAAATGGGTATAAAGGATACACACGTAGCAAATTAACAATAATATCACAATATAAAGAAAGACTGAATTCGCTCTGATGTGTGAAGTATCAGTTAAAAATGACGACGTATAACCTCCTGCATCAGGGAGGAGAGACAACAGAACAAGATACTTCAGCAACATCGTAACAAAAAATGCAATTAGATTAATAAAACAGGATAAATCGGTATGCGATTTCAATGCCCCATTGAACTATAGACGGTTCGTACAGGAATTCGTATTAAACGATAGTTTTGAATCATTTATCGCCAAGTAAATTCTAGGTAAATGATTGCAGTCATCGGTTAGCATTGTTCGATCGGATTCACGGAAAGCGGTCAATCTTCGCGACACCGGACGAATTCCTAACGTTATTCGAATTCTGTTAGGTGAACACTTACCAAGTAGCGATCTCGTCGAACGGCACGCATTCCTACGTCGAGCTACTGTACCCGGATAATGGTATCCAGTGGATCCAAGGTGAATCGCACCCCAGCGGCCTGCCAGACGCGAAGGCGCAGGCAGGATTTATGAGCGAAGGAAGAATGTACACCGTGAAGGGTTCCGGGACGGATCAGATTCAGAACGCCGACAAGTGAGTCAGAAGTAGACTGCTTAACGAGAGATTCGCTTCGAGTGATTCACTGCGCCGGTGACATTCTAAATCCTAATGTCCCGTAGGTGGTCGAACGTGAACAGACCGGGACAATGGCTGTTCCGAGTTGGTCCAGCATTGAACGACGACGAAGTTAAACTACCGGATAACATTGAGGGTGAGTTCCTATTCTTAAGATGAAACGGAGCGAAGGGAATGCTAAGAATTCGTGAAGAGAAAAAACTGGAACCGAAGCAATATGGTTAAAATCAATGACATGCGTAGGGGTAAAAGTAATATCGAATCGACGTGTTTTAGCTTCTGTAGAAAATTGTTAAGGAATTTGTAGGTTGAAATACTTTTCCTTGGGACCTGAACAATATCACTTGACCCTTTGACGGTGTATTAACCGTTTGAGTCCCGGGGGTTGTTCAGAAAACACGGTCGAAAAGCGTAATAGCGCTTGTCTTAATTGATTGCGAAGAGAACCAAAGAGAACCTCGGGACTGAAACGATTAAGCTTTTAATAACGTTTTCAATAACTTATACCAATCAAATTTATTGAACTTTGAAAATAAATTTTCACTTTCTCTTTTGTACTGTTAAATTAATTGTTATATCGTTTCGAAGAATGAGCTTAAAATCGTTGTATTATAGTGCAGTGTATTACTTGCACTATTAGTGCAAGTTATGAACACCATAAGAGGCTTAAGATGACACAGGAAAGAAGTAATCATTAATTAGAGCAACTTATCCACAAAGGGTTAACAAACGTCTCAAGAGACAGATTTAATTCTTCGAATGTACACTCGATTTCTCCCTTACAATCTCGCAATCCAACTTTCCCAGAAATGAACACCATATGAGGCTTAAGAAGATACAGGAAAGAAGTACATAATCGTTATCATTAATTAGAACAACTTATCCACAAAGGGTTAACAAGCGTCGCAAGAGTTAAATTTAATTGTTCGAATGTACACTCGATTTCTCCGTTACAATCTCGCAGTCCAACTTCCCCAGAAATAAAAAAGCATCTTACAGTACGCGTCTGTTCCCGGAATCAGAGGCGTGTTTCTTGAAATTTCATTAGTGCGCGGAGGGTTAATTTGATACCGTGTACGTACGCTGCGCTCATAACTGTCCAAGTTACGCGCTAATTAAGGGAGGAGGAAGCGGCAAAGGTCCCGCTGGTTTCCAAGTTTTCCTCTGAACCGAAATCTCGTTGCATTCGAGGATCGCTTGGAGCATGTAGCACAGTTTCACACGTGAACGTCACGCGTTACACAGACATCAGCGCAACGAACCAGGTGGCCAGCTGCAGAACCGGAGCAACGACTTGCCACAGCAAAGCGTCGTGCATGGACTACGAGGTCGGGTTCTGTTGCCACTGCAAGCAAGGATTCTTCGGGAACGGGAAATCCTGTCAGCCGAATGGTGAGCATATCGCGGCTGTCGCGCGAGACTCGAGGAGGCCCCTAATTATCCGCGAGCTCGCGTCCCTTTGATCTGCTCCCGGAACGTAAAAATCCGTTTTCGAACGGGTCGACCGTGTGGCTCGCAATTTTAACCACTCCTCTCTCCTTTGGAGAAGCGTCGCGTCGCGATATAAACGCCGTCCAATAACGGTCGGTTCTGCGGGGACGGTCTCTGTGATCTATTCAGGGATTACGAGCCTCCGCTGCCCCCTCGATGACCCCGTGAAACTCAAGATTCGCGGGACGCAACCTTTTGAACGCGGCCCCCTTCCTCTGACGGGTTTTCGATGACCCCTGATTCAAAGTCAACCGAAACAAGAAAGCCAGTGCGAATTAACCCGCGAGGACACTCGCCCAGGGACCAGCGAAATCGAGCCTTTTGTAAACGTGTTCGTGGAATTTTGTTCGCAGGCTCATAAAGTCGACGTGGTTATGGCTGTTCGACAGTTAGTCTGCGGATCTTTGTGCAAAATAAAAGCTTTCCACGACAGAGAAAGAAGACAGAAATAATAATTAAGCTTTTCTTTCAATAATTGTTTTAAATCAACGACGGTGCAAGACAGCATTCTTAACCAGTTAAGCGTGTTCGATGACTATATCAGTCATGGAGATGTGGCAGAATTTTGTATCATGACGATTATATACGTCATTCGTAAAATTTTGTTACAATTTGATATTTAAATTGTAATTCTGGCGAAAAGTAAATTATATTCGTGAATTTTAATATGTTTAAAATGTTTAGAGGTCAAGACGAAATGAAACGAAGTTAACTGGTTAAATTCTTTCAGCATCTTCAGTGTCTTATTGCACCTATTCACTTTTGTGAAATCAACGACGGTGCAACAGTATTCTTAAATTCCTCCAGCATCTTCAGTTTCTTATCGCACCTATTCGCTTTTGTTATAAATGCACAAAATCCGCATTCTAGCGACGATACACGCAGTCGATTCAACACACAGCACGCAATACAAAAATACAATCGAGTGTTTTATTTTAGTATTTCAGTTACACTAATTGGCTGGGTAAATAAAGTGCACAGTCAAGAATTTGATCTTGGTATTGTAGTTTCTAGTCCATTAGGTAATTGAAATCAAACAGTCGAGCACTTCGTTTAAATATTTTAGTTTCTGGACAGCTAAGAATTTCAAGTCAGCGCGCAGTCCAGCTATTTCAATTTCCCGAGTTTTAACATTTCGTAAATGAAAGCATGCAGTTTGCGAAACGTCTCGCAGTTCCCTGGTGAAACAATTCGAGCGCTAGCTTAAATACCTCTTGAAGTGGCCGCACAGGAATTGGAAGGGGTGGCAAATGTTTGCAGATGTCCCACTTCGTGTAATTGGCCGCATCTCCGGCACGATCAACAATGTTGAATTCCCAGCGAGAGATTTGCAGTGTTATGTCCAAACAAAGGATGGAAGAACGTACACCGCTCTGTCCCGTGTGCCGGATGAGATCGGCCCGAACTTCCAACTGCTCGGCAGTCTCGGTGAAGTGATTGGCTGGCTGTTCGCGAAACCTATTGGAAAGACGAAGAATGGCTATGAACTGACAGGTACGCGTCGCTCAGTCTTAAACCAAATTAAAATAATAAAATATAGCACGTCGGTCTATTTTCTTTTCGACTTAACGCGATTAACCTTAGCATACTCAAGGGAGGAACAAAAAATATCCACAGAATTTTAAACGTGTTTCTTTGTCCTAGGAATGTTCTTTCGTAAATTTTATTTTTATACGTTATATTTTATAAACTATCCTCTTTGTAAATCGTTTGTCGTATAAATAAAATATACCTTATATCTCGGACAGAAAAAACCATGTTAATAGCACTTTTCACAAGTGTATCCCTTAAGCTTAAAAGTCCAAGGATTAATGAATGAATAATCTAACAAAGGTTCAAAAAACAACAATTCACGTTAATCTATTTTCTTCCGGAAAATTCATCTAGCAGTTTTCCTTCGGAAATGCGATTTCCGTAAATATAATTTCTTGCATACTTAAGAAAAGCCCCCTCCTTGCGCCATCTAATGTCAACAAAAATTCAGCTGACATCATATTCCGTCCAATCGGCTTGGAACATATCGCCCGGCCTGCGTAATCGACGAACGGTGACTTCAAGGACATCCCCTGAATTTAACAAATCGCTTATTTCAGGCGGCTTCTTCAACCACACGGCAGTATTGACGTTCGGCTCGACGGGCGACAAGGTGACGATTCGCAACAATTACCTCGGCTTGGACGTGTTCGGCCAGTTGAAAATGGAGGCTGAGGTGACAGGTACGTTGCCGCAACTGTCGAGGGACACCCGGGTCAGCCACGGCGACTACGATGAACTTTATACCAGAGTGCAATCGGGCATAATTCGCGCTCAGAGCGAACGAACTTCGAAATTGAACGACGGTTCCGGGGAACGGGATATGGTCTTCACGTTGGACCAGACGATCATTTATAACGAGTGTTCCTACCTGCTCGTTGACCCCGAGGACGACACAACGAGGCTCAAGTACTTCAGAGGTGTGACGACTTACGAGGCCACCGAGGGCATTATCCGGTTCGCCGTAAACACGAAGGTCGCGCCGCTCGAGGAGGAGGACCCTTGCATTAAGGGAAAGGAGACCTGCCCCGACTATAGCAATTGCGTCGTCGTTGGCGATAGGTTCAAATGCGAATGCAACTCTGGGTAAGCAAACTGTTCCGCTTAATTTAACCCTTTGCACTCGAAGCTATTTTAATTATATTTTAAACATATTTTCTGATCTACAGTGTTTCTATTTTATATGATTTATTGCAATTTATACATATGAAAGCCTATTGGCAAGTATAAAACTTGCAATTTTAAGAATGTTTTAGATATAAATGAGTCTGATAGTATTACGATTATTTTGAAAAATATAGTATAGCAATTTTTAGTGGCGCCTCAGAGTCGCCACTCGAGTGCAAAGGGTTAACATTTCGCGCGGAGATATTCTTGATAAGAATACTTTTGCGACGCTGTCGGATAAAATTCGACCCTTCGCGGGTACAGTAACGTCTCTCTAATCGACGCCCAGATTGACCGCAAAAATGGACAATTTGGGAAGAGGAGATATTATTATTTATATGATATGATTATTCGAGCCTTGTGGTTTATTTTTATAGTAAAATTGATCAAAAGAAGAACCAAATTTGAAACATTTCTAACTCTTAATTTTGGAAAGTTCTTCCTTTTTGGTCTTCCTTTTTATAGTCTTCTTAAGCTAATACTCAGGACGCATTTGCATAACAAATAAAAGTGGATTTCATGCCGAAAAATGAAAAATTCGCGGTTCGAGGTTTAATTGATTATTCGAGTGATTCGTTGATCAAATTTTGCTCACAGCTTCGATTTGTATTTCTCTAAACTCTGTATAGTGTGATACTTTTCGAAACAATCGTCTATGTGTACGAACGGCTTTATAACGGTCGACCCGAGCATCGTACAAATTTCAAACGCGACATTGGCTTTCAGTTGTTGTTCTAATCGACGCGTTTATACTATATATGAGCCGTTTATTTTGAAAGTGGCATAAGTCACTTTACCGTAATGTGAAAAGTGGTGATTTTTTAATGTTTATACGAAATTATTTGTACCGAGAAAAATATCAGTATCCTGAGATAACAAATACAAGTAAATCTTCTCAAAAAGTTAGCATCAATATTTTTAAACGTGTTAAAACGCGAACCCTTAAATGTATCGACTTAAAAACAAAGTGACTTATGCCACTTTCAAAATGCCACTTTCTTACATATGTAAGAGTCGAGGGTTAACGGTCGGAGAATCGGCGAGCGTGTTACGATTTTGGAGCGACCTCCGGAATCATAACAGCTGATCGGTATTGCTCGCGGACTACCGTGCCTTAACCCCACGCGACGAACGTGTGTGTGCGTGCGTACGTGAGCGTCGCGATTTTTAGTTCGCGACGATGCTAGGACGATCGGCGGGCATTAGACGCTGTATACATAAACGAATTCGAAAGAAGATTCGTAACGTTCGACCAGTACACCGATAAAAGGACGCGCTCGCAGGACGCGCTCGCAGGACGCGACGAGTACTACACGATAACGATTACGTCTACCATTGCAAACACGGCTACGTACACGATCACGATTGCGGTATGCGATTCGAATAACGACACACGGCACACAGTGGGCTGGATCGAGAAATTCAGTGACATTCTGTTATAACTCTTTTGAACCATCAAAGATATTGCAATGAAATTTTCAGCAAAAATATTTGAAACATAGTTATTCTCAACTATAGATAATTCAATATTTTTTTGCATTTGTTAAACAATAATCTTTAATTACTTTTCATTGACGTTTTCTGTGAAAAAAATATTGTTTAAATATAATGTTGCAAACTATTTGTAAGGTCTCTGTACGCATTGCACGTAGTTGGCAAATCTCAACAGTTCGAACTTTCGATCAAATGTAGAGTATGCTAATTAATCTTACCGTTTTGTTATTCTTTCAATAATTCTGCAGCGGATCCACATATTTCAACGATACGAATAAAATACTACAAGAAGAAAATTAAACGATTAAATCCTGAAGCTGCAGGTTTATTGAAATTACGGGAATCATTGCATTCGGCTTTACTGTCTTCTTTTTGTCTTATATTTTGTTAGCGTCGCCGTCTAGAAGTATAAGTGGAATAGTTTTCAAAACTTACTTAACCTTAACATGCATTTGCTACACACACTTTGAGACCGCCAAGATAATATTCTCCGTCACTTCTACGCCCGAGCATGCACTCGTTTTAATTGATTACCGCAATCGATGTCTCAATGTGTGCGAGTCCATCGCCATATATTCTTCTGTTGATATTTCGTGTTGTGCTTGTATCCCAACTATTCAACATCGTCACAATTCTTGCATCTCTCTCCGCGATAAACAATACGTACTCCGACCGTGTATCATCGTTAGACTGCGGATTTTATGCATTTACTGCAAAAATGGAAGAATAAAACAGCGAAGACACAAACAGGAATCTATAAATACTGTTGCATTACTGTCACCGTGTTGACGTCATCAAAAGAAGAAGTACATTTCTGTGCAACTTCTATTTTATGTAACCGACGAGGAAGAGTTTCATTTTACATAAAGATCCGCAGTTTAAATATCATACTTTTACCGAATTGTTCGTAACGCACATCGGGATCTTCGCAATTTGAAAGGCAGACTTCTCTGATATTGTCTCGAAGAGACTACAGTAACGTCTCCCTAATTGACGCTCAGATTGTGCACAAAAATGGACAATTTGGGAAGAGGAGATACGATCAATTTGAGTCCTGCCCCTCGTTTTTATAATTATCGATTCTCAACAATTACAAAAACGAGGCGCAAGGCTATCGTATCTCCTCTTCCCGAATTGTCCATTTTTGTGGGCAATCTGAGCGTCAGTTAGGGAGACATTACTATAATTTGAACATTGTATTTGCGAATTGCAACAACCAGTTGTCAGATAGAAAGTTCTTTATCTTTTCAACAATTTCAGTAACTTGAAAATAATACAATGACTCTCTTTAATTCTTTTAATTGGTCCACTGTTTTAAAGTCGACCTGTTCTTTTTTGTCGTAAATGCATAAAGTCCGCAGTTCATTCGTCACACCGCTGACAATTCGTTTTACATCTTCTACCAGGCTGAGCGTAGAGTTCGTTCTCCGATTAAAAATGCAACTCGTTTCGCAGATTCCATTATCTCTACGAAGAGGACGGCACCGCGACCTGTGTGGATGTGGACGAATGCACAGCCGGCAATCACATGTGTTCTCCGGATGCGCAGTGCATTAACCAAGAGGGTAGCCACACCTGCGAGTGCCGGGCTGGCTTCTCCGGGGATGGCCGGGTTTGCGATAGTAAGTGCAGAATCGAAAACACCGAAAAAGTTACCATTCCATGATAATTCCGTACCAACCACGAACAAGAGACTCAACCGAGAAAATCAATATCTGTCCCGCGAGTTCTGTTTTACGCTTTGCCAGTAACCGGTTCATCTTCTGTTGGAAATCCAGAGATTCCCTCCTGCGAGGACGTTCGCTGCGACAATTACAAGACCTGCGTGATGATCGACGGCGTGCCTAATTGCGTTTGTACATCGGGTTTCGAGGAAACGGAGCAGGGTTGCTATCCTATCCAGCGAGGCAAGACAGATTTCTCTCGTAAAAAAAGAACAAAAAAAAGAAATACAGTAAGGTCTCTCCAATCGACGCTGAAATTGTCCACAAAAACGGACGATTGAGCCTTGCGGTTCATTTTTATAGTCACGAATTGTCAACAACTATTAGGTCTACCGGAAAGTTCTGTCCGATAAAGTCATTGCAAATTTCGATAGATATGCACATATTCATTTGAGACATATATTTTTGAAAAATATTGCTCACAAATTGCCATCACGCTGGCAAGAGGTCACAAGTAACGACGGAAATTATATTGTACTACTGTGATCAAAAAGTAAGGTGAAATTGTCATTTAAAACTCCCGGACATTAGGAAGGCAGGCAATTGTTTTTTTCCTAGGTTGGTAGGACTGTCTATAACAATTGCCAAGCGTCTGTTTGTTAAAAGGTTTAATTATCTCCGAGTTACACGTGTTTTAGTAAACGACCAAAAGTGAATTTTTCGATTTTTACAATGGGTGATTTTGTTGAGCAAAGAACTTGCATCAAATTTTGTTTGCGGAACGAATATTCTTGTGCGGACACGTTGAAAATGTTGCGGAAGGCCTTTGGTGATCAAACTATGGCACAAAAAAACGTTTATAAGTGGTACAACGAGTTCAAAGCGGGCCGAGAACGCGTTGAAGACGAACCGCGCTCTGGACGACCATCAACGTCTACCGACGAGGGCCACGTCCAAAAAATCGAAGATTTGGTGCTTGAAAATCGTCGACTGACAATGAGAGACCTCGCTGATAGTGTTGGAATATCATTTGGCTCAGTCCAAACCATTTTGAAGGATGTTTTGTGTCTCAAACGCGTCAAGTCTCGATTGGTGCCATGTCATACTGCATTGGTTCTTCGCGACTTTTTTGCCAAAAACTCGACTCATATCGTTCCGCAACCACCGTATTCGCCTGATTTGGCTCCGTGCGACTTCTGGTTATTCAGCAAACTCAAAAAGCCAATGCGGGGACGCCGTTTTGACACGATTGAGGAGATAAAAACCGAATCGAAGAAGGTCTTGAAGGCTATACCGGAAAAAGACTATTCCGACTGTTTCGAGGACTGGAAAAAGCGTCGGAAACAGTGCGTTTTATCGGACGGGGATTACTTTGAAGGGGATGAAATTGATTTGGAAGAATAAATAAAGAATTTGCATTTTATAAACAAATTCACCTTACTTTTTGATCACAGTAGTACAATATAGATATTACCAAATTTATGAAAAATCTATTATTTCCTTTCATTTCTGAAACGGACAGAACTTTCCGGTAGACCTAATATAAAAAACGAGCTGCATGGCTCGAACAATCGTATTCTCCTCCTCCCAAATTGTCAATTTTTGTGCACAATCTGAGCGTCGGTTAGGAGGACATTACCGTATACTGTTCTCTGAACATATGTCCGACCGTTTATATTATTTTCGACTTCCGGCAGGTTTCTGCGAAGTCGAGAACAACTGCTCTTCAAACGCCATCTGCATCCTGAACGAGGATAAACCCGTGGTCTGCATGTGCTTGCCCGGTTTTCTTGGTACGTTATGTCGATCTTTTTGCTTCTGCGTTTTCAAACGTCATTAAAGAACGTTCCCTTTCGCAATGTTGACAAAGAGCTCTCGGGGAAACTCTGGCGAAAAGATAATGTTACGTTCCCTCTCGAATAGAACACGGCTCTGCGATTCTCTTCTACGATTCTACGCGGAGTTTTCCAGCGTACGAATGAAATGAAAGGAATGTTTTTGCTAATGAAGCTGTTTGAAGCGATAGACTTAATTAAGCCAGCGATGTCGTTAGCAGCACCAAAAACAGTAAATAACAAGTTTCATCGTGCTATGTTACGTGCTGATCCCACGATTGAATGCGGAGAGCAGGCTTTCTCCAGCTGTGTCTTCAAAGCAAATTATTCTGTTAGCTTAATTACAAATTTAGAATTAGAAGTAGAAACTTTTCGGTTTCTGGGCGTCGCGTTCTGATTTAAACCATTCAAATAGTTCTGAAGGCAATAAAGGACGATCTAGAACATTTCGTCACATAATTGTTTAACACTAGGTTTATGGAACCCGTCAAAATGACGGATCAACTGTTTAATTTACAATTATTCAGATCGTGAAGGGTGCATTTATGAGTAGTTAGTTTTTCAATATATGTGTTACTTGCAACGGAGTGCAAAAGGTTAATAAGCAAATAAATCTAAAGAAAGAAACTTCTTGGACAAATTCTTCGTAAATGCATCTTTCAATTATCACAATTATAGTCTTTAAAAGACACTACCCTGGAACCGTCGCGTTTCAACATCGCAAAATAATAATAACCGGCTTGTAGAAAACGCACACCACAACTATTCCTATCGGTGTATAAGTCGCTTTTCAAATTTCTAGGAAAATACATTTTCTGGCTGCTGTAAATTGATATCGCGTGTAAAGAGTATCGCGTAAACAGCGTTACAATTTACCTAATAAAAAAAGAGACTCGTTCAGATTGATGGACGGTCGTATATCGCACGGTCCGTTCTCATGGAAGAAAAATCAGAGTATACTCGTGGGTCGACCGAGTCCAAGGGATTCCCGACGAACAATTTCTAGGGAGAACGGGTGCCGCGAGAAAATGATTTTTATCGTTGACTTCGTCCGGTGAATTCGTGATTCGCTTGTCTTTGGGATCGACTTCCATCCGAACGATTACAATTGTTCTCAGGGGATGGTTACACGTGCCAGCCTGAGACGGACGTGTCCACGACGGACACGCCGCAACCGCAGTGCTTGCAAAATAGGTGCTGGTGCCCGGGCGGTTGGGAGTACCGGGATTACGAATGCGTGCGCCAGGAGGAGGAGTCGAGGACCGTCTACTACCAGCGAGACCGTGAGTATCAGGAATAATATCGGCGGGTCTCCGATCCCTCGGCGAATTATCCGGACTTCGTCCGCGGATCCGTGTAATTCGCCGAATTGGCGCGCTGCGATCTTTGCCCGCGCGATCCCGCCTCGAGGAATGCGGCGCGACGCGGTGGAAACTTCACTTGCACGAGACTCTTAATCGTTTACGAGTTTGAAACGCTACGGAAAGTATAAGCTTCTTAAAGTTCAATCCTTTGAGGACGAAGTTACGCCGGCGTGAAAAAAGTTGGCGGAAAGAAGGAACACGGGCGCGGGAAAAGGTTCGGCGGAGCTCGAGCCGAGCAAACTTTCCCCGGGGGGAGAATCGACACAGCCGCGGAAAAGTGTACGTTTCGAGAGTACGGTTCTTCAATCCGGACCGATGCAATTTTTACCGCGAGAGCCGGGTCGCAATGATTTCTTTGTTACTTTTACTTACTGTTAATCTCCTTTGAAACGGAGCGCGCCCGCAGAAGGCAGAATTCTCGCGGAAGAAATACGGTGCATGCTCGTCGTTCAGCTCGGAACCGTATAAACCGCTGCTTTGATGCGTTTGGAACCTTTTGTGCGGCGTGGGCATCGTAAAACGCGCGTCGGTGCAGTTACATTTAACTTTCAAGTCACCGCGGTCGGTGGAAGCCAGTAGTTTCGTTTGATTTCCGTTTGTTCGAATTCCATCGTGGAGATGTAAATTAGCGAGAAGTTCCACAATCTACTTGTACAATAATTTCGCTTTAACATATTTTTATCACGAGCCATTTAGCGAAGCATCGCAAGTTGAGATGCGAAATGAATTTCTTTCACAGCTCTGCGATAATTAACTTCCTCGCAATTCACAATTTCCTACAAGTGAAACAATATTTGGATTTACCATTTGTTACAAGCTTATTCCAATGATTTGATAACGAAAAGATCCTGATCAAAATCTTTATCGCTGGCTTTGATCGGACACTTGGACAGCTAACCAGGTATCGTAACTAGACTGCGGACTTTTGTGCAAAGTGAAAATCGTCTGCATCTTTAACAACATTATTCTTTCTCAATAATTTTTGTAAATTGAAAAGGGATGTATTTACTCATTTCTTAAATTCTTCTACTATTTTGCATTCGATTTATAATACTCGCTCTCTTCTGAACACGTTCGGTATCGCATCGGTCACAGATGGGTGATACTAATTTTTAACCGAGTATTGAAATTCATTCTTATTGTGATATATCAAACAAATTGAATGTTACTGGGATCTTTAGAATACAAAAGAGTTGGTCTAATATTTCCACTGGTAAATTTCATCTTTCTATTTGCGGTTTCAAGAATGAAATGAAATTCGGTGTTGAAAAGTAATTTTCGATGTTGATATTCAGCACTGAACGTGTTAATCGCGTTTGAACGCTTACGACGATAGTAATCAAGCATGCTCTTGTTCTCAAAGTTCTGATAAAAAATATTACGTATTTCAAATTTCGTATTTCGCGTTTCAAATTACATGATTTCGTCGAGTCTATAGAATTTTTGTTCACGATGTTGTATTTTTTGGATATATACATAAATCCTATATGGTACAGTTCAATTAATGCATCGATTTAAATCTCTGAAATTAAGAATCGCGGCGACTTTCCTTCTAACCACGGAACTGTGTTCAAGAACCGGAGATCAATGTTTTTCTGACCAGTCCTCAAAGGATCGACAACGACCGAAAGACGTGCATGGCGTTTAATCGCATGTAAAATACGATTCGGGCAGATAGCGATTGCACGAATACGTGATGCGAGACAGTTTACCATAGCAGAGTCGAGAAACTCGCTGACCGCTAGCGACGATCGGTTTTGCATCGTGCATTCTAGTATCGGCACGCCCAATCCCGGAATGCTTGGAAGACTACTGCATATGCCCCTGGGGATACGATTACAACCGCACGGAGGAGATTTGCATGCCCCGACCAGGATACAACCACGAAACGATGGGCCCATCAGGAGTTCACTGTACGACGTCTTCGCTTTGCTTTTACTAATTCGGCCGATTAACAATCCGCGACACGAACGCTACAATTCACGCACACTTTAATTAATCCCGCTTACGTTCTACTTTATTCTTACGCCTGAACGATCGAATCCGTCTGTCGACCTTTCGACTGGCCACTAAATGTGAAATTTCGGTTCCCGCGGAAACTTTTAATCACGCTAAGGCGTTTCTCGTATCGTTTAAAAGAGCGGCGGTTAATATTATTTCCAATAAGTAATTGAATCGAGACTTCAAAGCAACAGTCGGAACGTCGGAAATATTCTGGAACGTCTTTTCAGGCGTAATTGGAAAGATTCGATCGTTTTAGCTTCCGGAGAAAATTCGCGCGGATTCGTTATAACCACGATAAAAATAACGTGGTCTTGTTTATCCATGCATTCATAAATTAATTTTTACGTAAATAACGTTGTACGTATATTTCCGAAATTTACGTTCGCGAGATCAAAGAAGCTCTCATTCCAGCTTCAATATTTTGCAAACGAAAGGCATTTTACTTCGATGAATTAGACGGAAGTCTCCGGCTGTCGCACTATCTGTCGATCATGGCTGTCGCACTATCTTTGCAAAACTGTGGGAAACGTATGTCGAGATGTACCGGCGACAGGAAAATCGCATGCATTTTCTCCGATCGTAAATGCAACTGATCCGCGAAATGGCTTCATAAATTTTGTATGTGAGACAGTCCAGCCAATTATCATAATTGCGCACGCTTATGTCCAGTACCGTGCAACGTGGTGAACAGGTGTCATCCCTACGCGCAGTGTGTATACGTAACGAGTACCGGTGACTACGAGTGCCGCTGTAATCCCGGCTTCAACGGAAATGGCGTCGAGTGCACGAAAACAGGTACGATTTTTCAGATTTGCGCATTTCTCAATTCTGGTAGATGTTCATAGACCGTGTTTTCTCACTGACGAAAATTCAGCGAGGCCAACTTCGACCAACGTTCGACCCAACAATATTACAGTAATGTCTCCCTTACTGACGCTCAGATTGTGCACAAAAATGGACAATTTGGGAAGAGGAGATACGATTGTTCGAGCCTTGTAACTCGGTTTTAAATTTTCGTTCCAAAGTGACAGATAAGGACCAAGGAATGAACTATTGTTGTCGAGTCGCGTTAGTGGTATTGGTCATGCTGGTTTCGCTGCATAGTTATCGGTGAAACGTGTGTATCATAATCTCCCACCGCGCGGAAATCGTACACGTCGATGACGGACGAACTGACATCGAATTGTTATTCTGGCTCAGAAGTGTCCTGTATGGAGGTGGACATCTGCGACCCGAAGGCGTCCTGCCAGTCCGAGGAGCCGTTGGCCAAATGCGTTTGCAATCCAGGATATGATGGAGACGGAACCACTTGCAGTCCTATCGGTCGTCGTATTAAATATTTTTCACGTTCTTTCCTTACCACCCTTAAATGTTTGGTTCTATCGTCACCGTTTCTTCATTGTTTGTCACCGTTTCCTCATTTTCTGGCACCTTTTGGCGCACGATAGCGACGCCATTTTTATTTGCTTGCTATGCACGCCGAGATCGAAGAANGGACAATTTGGGAAGAGGAGATACGATTGTTCGAGCCTTGTAACTCGGTTTTAAATTTTCGTTCCAAAGTGACAGATAAGGACCAAGGAATGAACTATTGTTGTCGAGTCGCGTTAGTGGTATTGGTCATGCTGGTTTCGCTGCATAGTTATCGGTGAAACGTGTGTATCATAATCTCCCACCGCGCGGAAATCGTACACGTCGATGACGGACGAACTGACATCGAATTGTTATTCTGGCTCAGAAGTGTCCTGTATGGAGGTGGACATCTGCGACCCGAAGGCGTCCTGCCAGTCCGAGGAGCCGTTGGCCAAATGCGTTTGCAATCCAGGATATGATGGAGACGGAACCACTTGCAGTCCTATCGGTCGTCGTATTAAATATTTTTCACGTTCTTTCCTTACCACCCTTAAATGTTTGGTTCTATCGTCACCGTTTCTTCATTGTTTGTCACCGTTTCCTCATTTTCTGGCACCTTTTGGCGCACGATAGCGACGCCATTTTTATTTGCTTGCTATGCACGCCGAGATCGAAGAACGCCGCATGTTCAACACCATAGAGCAATCATTAACCAATCCAGAGATACGAAAACAAGTTTGTTAAGCATTCTTAATTTGGGAGCCCTGAAATATTACATGTCCGTTTTTCAATTCTGAACATTCAGCTTTGGCTACACGATTCAATAGGCACCCTTCGCCTACTGTAAAATCGGTTAAATGCTATAAGATGATGAATTTACTTTAGAATGAATCTTCTCTAACCCTTACTACATCCCGTGCACTTCTATTCACTGTACTGTGAACGTCTCGCGACAGCAAGAACAATTATTTCCTCCTATGCATCCAGAGTCATCGTCACCCTCTCCACTGCTTAATCCACTTAATAAACATGCCCTTGACATGAACGAGCATGCCCGATTGTATGAGCATCGTCCCGAACCTTGCAAACTAGTTCGAACCTTATTTTACATTCCATAGTAAAATATCGTATTACCACCTCCTTCCGGAACCAATGGTGATGCATACTTAACATGAATTACGATTAACCTTAGAATGGTGATGTACGTCAAATTGGACCCCTAACACTAATTGGCTCCGTATCCTAGTGACTTGACGTCATATTAATATCAATAATGGTGACTTGATATCAAATTGACTCTGTTTGAATAGTGGCGACTTGAAGTGCAATTGACGCTATATCAATTAATCGTAGCTTGACGTCGGACTGACTGCATATCAATAGTGATACCGCTAGAGATAAGGAGTCAATTTGACAAGGCGCCGTTAATTTTCGTACGAATTACAGGAGTCGATTTGACATCGATGACATGTTACCACTAGTTATACTAAAACAGTGGCCACCACTTGAAGTATATTGTACAATAACTTTTTCAGAATTTCGCATTTTAAGTCGATTTTATTGTTATTTCATTCTAATTCCGTATTTTAGCCCAGAGAAATCGAACCCTGTCGCGAACAATTAATTTCTATTTTAAAGAAATCGACGTAAAGAAATTACAATTTCGATAGTAGACAATTTCTACGATTGCAATAGCAGAAATTACAATTTCAATAGTAGACAATCTCTACGATTACAATAGTAGAAATTACAATTTCAATAATTTACCACAAGTAGACATACTCGAGCACAATGATATTATTTAAAACATCGATATTATACCGTTTGAACCAGCATGGGCGGTAGGAAATCGTTAACATGCTCCTGCGCGAAATTGTCCCCAGCCACCGCTGTGCCAAACGAGTTTCGACGTTTCCGGGAATGTTCTTCGTTTGCTTCACGTGCCATTTTATTGTTGCAATGCAGACAAGTGCAGCTCGAACGCCGACTGCGCGGAAGGCGAGATGTGCTCGTACAATCCGAGCAACTCCCGGCACGAGTGCAGTTGCTCACCTGGCTACAGCATGGTGGATGAAAGGTGCGTGGTGTCCGATTGCTCGACGAATCCGATGCAGTGCCACGTGAACGCACAATGCGTGTCAGCTGGAGACGGGGGCTACCTATGCGTCTGCATCGAGGGCTACAACGGCGACGGGATACGTCAATGCGTCGAGGACCATATCGGCTGTAACGTCCTGAATAATTGCGGCAGGGACGCGGTCTGCGGCTACAACCAGACCTCCTCGAACTTCGCGTGCGTCTGCCAACCGGTATGCTCATTACTGCACTCGGTGTCTTAAGGCATGTGTTTACGCGCGAGTAAAACTCCCGAGAGCTGCTTCGTAGTTTCGAGGCTCGAATTACTCCGGAAACGCGGAGCGATCACTCTGAAAAAGTGACGGAACCGGTTCGTGTTTTGAGAGCCGCACAGTTCTGGTATCTTTTCCTAAAAATTTGGCCACAATTCATGACTTCGAAAATCGACGCTCCCATGCTTTCGAGAATATTAATATGTTGTTAGGGAATATATATCGGTATATGCTATTTTTTGTAAATATCCATAATTTCCCAATGTTTGGCTATAATTTTATACTTGGAATATATATATAAATACGACGACCTCAGCTCGACATTTTTAACATTGTTTGTTAAAGATAGGAAAAAGTGGTAACGTTTTTCGATTGGATAACGCAGTGAATATCTTATTTTAAGTCATGAATCTTGTTAGAGCAGTTTATGCGGCCACGATTTAGGACATACAGTAATGTCTCTCTAATTGACGCTCAGATTGTTCACAACAAAAGGGATAATTTTGCAAGAGAAGATACGATTGTTCGAGCCTTGTTGCTCGTTTTTTATGGTTATCGATTGTCAACAACTATAAAAACGAGTCGCAAGGTTCGAATAATCGTATCTCCTCTTCCCAAATCGTTCATTTCTGTACATAACCTGAACGTCAGTAAGGGAGACATTATTGTACTGAGCAAGGAAGCGCGAGGCTTTATTCCAAAATATTTTGTATCGCTTGTGTACGAAGTTTATCTCTATGACATCTATTTTAATGGTAAAATGTTTTACAAATGGTTTCTTGAAGGATCATTGACGCATTAACCCTTTCCTGGGCACAATATGAATTTTCAAAAAATTGCCACATTTCAGCGGTGGAAATATTTCAGCCTGGCGTCCATATGCGAACGAAAAGTCGGTGGGAAGCTTAGTTCCCAGTGCCTATGAAAGGGTTAAAGATGTTACCATGTACGATATTTAAAAATAATTACTTGCATTTGATACTTTGAAATGCATAGAACACGTGACTAGCTCAGAATCATAGGACAAGTGAACAAAATTATGAAGTTACTATTAATTTAAGTCTAAATCACGTTAACAATAAATTTGGACAGTGAATAAATACACATGTTAGTAAACAATATATATAGTAAACAATAACACTATTTCTTTTTCACAATGAGGAAAATGTGACATAAGCCAACATGGTTCCAATTCACTCGTACGCACCGCAACAGGTTTTTGCTACCACATATTTCGAAAATTGCATCACGGCCTAACTTTTTGGTAAAAGTACGACTCTGCGGTGATATACAGGGTGTCCCAAAATTATGGTACTTCCGGGAAATGAGGGATTCCTCAGATTATTTGAAATAACTATTTCCTTAGCGAAAATGTAATCCGCAGCTTTGTTTACGAATTATCAACGAAAAACACTGACCAATGAGAGGCCAGCACGGTTGGCGCAAGGCGGACGAAGTTCAGTTCCGTTCATTGGCTCGACCGCCTCCGCGCCGGCTGATCTCGTCTCTCATCGGTCACTGTCTTTTTGTTAATAACTCGAAAACAAAACAGCAGATTGGATTTACGCTGAGGAAAACGTTATTTCAAATGACCTCAGGAATCTCTCATTTCCCGCAAGTACCATAATTTTGGGACACCCTGTATACAATTACCGTCGTGGTCGATTGGCTAATGAAATCGTGCGGAAAGGAAAAATGAACGTCCCAAACCATAGTCATCCACGGACAATCGCGCTGCAAAATTGCTACACGATTTCTCAAGAGCAACTCGCGCGAGAAACTCTCTCGAACGGTCGCATGCTTATAGACACAGGTACGCGTGGCTTATCGATTCACCTGCACAGCTATTTCGCCCGAAAACCGAGGGTATCGGTGGCGATCGAAGGCTACCTAGGGTGCTCCGTCGTTCGCCTGCAGAGCCATTCCGGCGAAAATCAGGATCGAGATCACCGGTGGAAATTACTCTGTTTGCTAATGCGATAGTTTAGGGGAAGCCGAGTGTAACCTAACTCGGGAACTCCATCAAGTAGTCACAGACTCCACGAATCAGCCGCCGCATGGATGAATGTGTCGGACTAGGCTGCCACTTTGGCAACCGACGGTTTATGACCAGACATCGTCCTACAGGACAATGGACGAGGTCGACGAGCAGCGATATTTAACACTGAAGCGATTGCGGGACCCTTGTACCTAAATTAACCACTCGAACGATTTCAGCTCTCTTTGTCTGGACAGATTGTCTCGGGGGAGGGTTACATTAAAATCGACGAGACACAGGGTTCGACAGCTATTCAACGATGCTAGACTCGATTATTAACAACCTTGATCTTGGCGGCTGCTAGGTTGTGGCTTCGTTTTCGAGAGCGTCGGAGATTAGGCGAACTTGCGTGCTATTGAGCAGGATATAACCCGACATATCTGATCAGAAACTTCCGGTTCTGATTCTTGTGGATATTATGGCACTCGAGGAATTGTCAGACATGATTTTATTGAAAACACGTTATTCGTCTTTTTAAACGCTTGTTCGTGTAGAATGTATATATGTTAGTTTTATTAAATTTAAAACGGAAGTAACAATTAAATTGGAAAATGATGATATACATTTTTCAAGAATCTATGTGTATAACGTTACGATTGATATCAAGATCAAGTATGTAAATGTGCAAAAGATTATTTAAACAAAATCGTTCAGGTGGGATTACCATTTAACATGCGGTACCCTAATTATGTTTGGACCTATCTATACTTTGCCTAATATTCATCTGTACGCGCAGCAGATAAATCGGGTCATATATTTTGCTATTATATCTCCGCTCGGTAAACAAAACGGTTCGGCTAATATTATTCACTTAGACTAGAGCCGTCGCGATAGCAAAAAGTTAAATGCAGTTAATACATCTGACGCTGCGTTAACTTCTTTAAAAAAAAATATTACGTGATACAAAATACACATATTTCTACGTTATCGTTGCAACATTAATTTCGTACGCGCTCGGTACAAAAGAAAGTTTTTCGCAGGTGCACCTATTTCCGGATGTGCTACTATTTCATAAGCCGTATCTACAATACACACCTACTTCAAATTTCTGCGCGAAACATTAAGCTATGTCCATATTTGTTACTGCGCGTCGTTCCGTTATCATGACATGTTACTCAAACAATAGCAAATCTGCAGATCGTTCAATGAGTTCGAGGACTCGATGTAAACAAGATGCACGCGCTGAAGCAAATGCGGCAAACAGCGAGCATAACTATTGATTGGCCCACACTTATCATCGAATGCCTCGTTTGTTCATATCAGTCCGTAAGATTCGCAGTCTATTCATACTAAGCGCTAAACCAATCTTCGTTCCTTATTTCTGTACAATGTTTTTGTATATATTCATATTTGTTCCATCGTGTTCATACTTGCGTCATTTTAGCGAGTTTTTTATTTATATTTACATTCTCATTATATTCGCATTTATATTTCCGCGTTGTTAATATACAGTGCCGGACAAAATGATAGGACGTTTGCCATTTTTGAATGTTTCGCATAATATAATAAAATATGCGTACATTTTACATACCTTATGTATTCGATATGTTCTTAAAGATGAGTGTAATAAACCTTGAGCTTGTATCTCATGCACGAAAAGAGTTCAAGAAAATAATGTAAAAATGTGCTGATTTTAATCGGACAAAATGATAGAACGTTTGATATTTTTGAATCTTTCGCATAATATAGTGAACTATACGTACATTGTACACACCCTATATATTGGAAATGCCCTCTAAACTGAGCATAGTAAACCTTGAGTGTGTATATTATACACGAACGAAGCTAGAGGAAAGAATGTAAACATGAGCTGATTTCACACGATCAAAATGATAGGACACATCACATATTTTCCATTATTGTGTTCTCTGTCAGTCGTTTCTCAGCATTGACTAGATGTGAACGCGTTAATCTGTCATTAATCTACAGTATTGGTGCAATTAATTGTTGAAATAGTGCAAAATGGGTCGCGGAAAACAATTGAACAGAAGTGAAATCGATCGAATCTTATTATTGCGGTCAGAGAATTGTACCATCACGAAAATTGCGAGGTTATTCAATCGGAGCCGTAATGTCGTTTACAATCTTTTAAAAAATCCGAAAATAACAAATCAAACTCTGATGAACATTTTATACAAAATTTACTAAATATGAAGATTATTCGTTATTCATAATTAAAGATAATTCTTCTAAATCGATAAAAAAAATTTGATTCTTCTTCTTCCGTTATCAAACTTGGAACGTAAATGGGCACATAGAAGAAAACAAAAACTGGTTTGTTCTATCAAAAAGATGATCAAGTGTTAATCAACGGGGTTGTCAAAGAAATTGTGGTTATATAATCGCGCAAGTGGTTCATGACCCTGTACTATTATTTTCGAAGTACAAAGTGGAAAACCGTAGGCGTTGATCCACATATAACTGCATAAAAAACGAAATTCAAATTATTCAGAAACGATGTAAATCCGGATGATGAAATGCGTCGCGTTCGAAGGTGAAGAAAACCGAATAATTTTCAGGGATTCTACGGCGACGGGTTCACGTGTCTTCCTCAATCGTCTTGTCGACGTGATCCAGCTCTTTGCTCGCCGGATGCGACGTGCGTGCCGGCCGGGGACAATCAATTCGCCTGTGTGTGCAACGAGGGCTACAGCGGGGACGGGACTAGTTGCAAGCCTCGGCCGAAACACGAGTCGAACTTCCTGCTGGTCAACCAAGGAATGGCCACGATGAGGATTCCGTTCGCGCCGACCTACGACAACCCGGGCAGCCCGATCTACATAGCGTACCAGCAAATGGCCATCGCGATCGACATCGACTGTCTGAACGGGAAAGCGTACGCGAGCGACATCACCGGTAATTCGTTGATATCCCGTGAACGGTCCGCGATAGAGGATCGCACACGGTCAGGTCGCGGAAACTTCGGGCGAGAAATTAGAATGGAATTTTCCGCGAGATCGGCGCGGAGAACTCGTCGCCCAGGAGACCGAAGGCCTAGATGAGATTTATTTTTGCAGGCAATCGAATAATCGAGTTGAATTACAACGGATCGGCCGAGACGTTCCTGCCGAAAGTAAGCAGTCCCGAGGGACTGGCGGTCGATTGGGTTTCGAGAAATATTTTCTGGACCGACTCCGGCAACGCTACCGTCGAGGTAGCCAATCTCGAGACGAAGAAACGCAGGGTCCTCGTTTCCGACGGACTGGTCAATCCTAGGGGGATAGCTGTCCACCCGTTCCGGGGGTTAGTATCTCTCTTCCTCGGAGACGCAATGGTCTTGGGGTTAAGGAACCGCATCCGCGGCTCGGGGATCACAAATAACAATTTCACTTTGGTCGGGACTTACGCGAAAACTATTGCATGCGGAACTAAATACTGTTGCGAACCTCTATGTTTTTCTAGTTCTGTTTATAGTTCTGAATGCAATAAAGGCAGATCTAGAACATTTATTTTATCAAATAGTTGTTTAACATTAGGTTTATGGAACCCGTCAAAATGACAGGTCAACTGTTTAATTTACAATTATTCAGATCTCGAAGGATACATTTATGAGTTACTTTTTCAATATACAGTAATGTCTCCCTTACCGACGCTCAGATTGTCCACTAAAATGAATAATTTGGGAAGAGGAGATACGATTATTCGAACCTCGCGACTCGTTTTTATAGTCGTCGACAATCGGTAACTATAATAGCCGCGAGGCTCGGATAATCGTATCTCCTCTCCCCAGATTGTCTCAAATTTGCACAATCCGAGCGTCAACTAGGGAGAATTGTTCGTTTTTATAATTGTGGACAATTTATAACAATAAAAATAAACCGCAAGGCTCGAATAATCGTATCTCCTCTTCCCAAATTGTCTATTTTTGTGCGCAATCTGGGCGTCAATTAGAGAGACATTACCGTATGTGTTACTTTCGGCAAATATTATAATAATTCCAGTTAAAGATCGGAATAAATGTCTTATTGTGTTAACACTAGACATACGAAGCACTTTATATTGCCTCGTCAAATTAACAAGCATATTATTGCGAGCCTCTCCGTTTTTCTCGCGTCGCGGCATTTTATTTGCAATTAATATAGAATATAATGCAGCACGATTCAATTATATTACAGATCTTTGAATTTGTAATATCGATCGTTCGACGGTCCGATCTCGACTCTCGACTGTCCGATGGTATCACTTTTCCGTGGCAACCCCTATCTTCCATTATTTCCTAAGGAGTTGTTCACAACGGGGTAGTTTCGCATCGATTACTTTTGCAAAATTCATACGTTTTTCATATCCTAATAAGCTTGAAAAGACATAATAGAGCAACGCAAAAATCAAGTTCCAAAGTGTTGAATGGCCTGTTTCGAATGCTCCATCCTGTGCCGAAACAGCACGAAAACAACTGCTCTATTATCCGAACCTGCAATGTTGCTGCAGCTCCCAGCAGATCCCGATCCCCTAATCTCACGGCGAAAGAAGGGAAGTATTGTAATCGCGAGCGGTAAAGAAAATTTCGAACGATTCCAGGAAGATATTCTGGTCCGATTGGAACCGTGCCTCGCCGAAATTGGAGTGGGCCAACGAGGACGGGACCGGCCGGGCAATCTTCCTTCAAGGGGATTACGTCAAGCTGCCGAATTCATTAAGTATCGATTGGGCGACGGATGAGCTATGCTGGGCGGACGCCGGAACGTTTACGATAAGTAAATACAGAACCCTCCTCGAATATCTCTGCTAATAGACGGCCGCGATCGGCTGGCCCTATAACCCCCCATGATCCTCTTCCGTCGGTTCGATTTTTGGCGATCATTCGCAGGTTGCATGGACATCGATAACAGGGAGATCAACGTGGTGGCGAACGCGCTCACCTACCCCTTCGGACTGGCGATCTCGCAGCAGAATTATTACTGGACCGACTGGAAGACGTAAGCGATCGAACGTCGTTTTCTTGGCGGAGAATTTTATGCGCTCGCCTGGCGGGAAATAAATGACGGTTCAGCTTCTTCGGCTCGCTTTCGACGACGGATAAATAACGAGCCGGTCATTTATTTCCTGTCAATCGAATGGCTCCGCCAAATGATAGAGGATCGCGGCTTGCTACATTTTAATCGGGGAACGGCCGGCAATCCGTCGTCCTTGCGCTGTCCTGTTTTTCGAAAGAGATCCACGTACTGGGTGAACGAGATACAAGAAAATCAGCGGTCTTTCTCGTGGAACATTTTTACGCGGCAGATAATCTTGGGTTAAAGAAGCTTTTCGAACCGCACGTTTTTCAAAGTTTTATTACCAATCGGATGAAAACTATCGCAATTTGATCGCATTCGAAGCCTTCGTATCATTTTTGTAATCACTGATATATATAACGCGATTAGGAACAGAAAAGAATTGGTGAAATTCTTCGAGAATTGGAAAAAGCTTTCCAGACGCAGATCTGTCTAAAGATTTCAAGGAAAATATAAATCGGACTGGACCGTTTTGAATTTCAAATCTTGATCCACCGAATTTTGGATACTCGAAGATACTACAATCACATATATAAAATCTACGATCTCCCTTAGAATGTATGTTACTTGAATTGCTTTCAATGATGCGGACATAATTGCTGTCGAATCAACTCGGAGCGCACAAATGTCACCACGAGACTGCGGATCTTTATGCAGATAATATAATACATAATATAATATGTTCGCAAACTACCTCGCAGAAATTCTCATCGGCAAAAGATTGCTACATTCCGATAGAGTTTGCATTACGTTTCGGCGAAGATAAGAATCTCATTAAACTATCCAAAACTGTTTATCTCAAAAGAAAGTCTATAGAGTAATTGGACGTAAGAACCGAGTTGGTCATTATTCGGATAAAATTTTAGTCGAACAACATTTCGAATAAATTCAAGGAATACAATCTTATTCGCCATTCCAATGAAATATGCCGAACCCTAATCATTCGTACAGCATCGACGATTGAAGCAGAGTGAATTCCAAAAATTGCGTCTTCGCTTAAAAAATTTCTCATAAATCGTTGGCGGTGGAAAAAAGTCAGTTCTACGAGATCCATCGAGTAGATAGAAAAGAGCAAATGTAATAATTCCAGTTGAAAATTACTCTTTCGAAAAACAAGCCAGAGAACGTCGCGAACTCGACAGACACTCTAAGATATTCGAAACGATGTGTTATTTACCGTCGCAGCCACAAAATCGAGGTTGCCATGAAGAGCACCGGGGACAGGAAGCCGGCCATATCGATACCACCCGGAGGAAGCGGTAAATTATACGGAATAGTCGTCGTTCCTGAGTCCTGCCCAAGAGGTAAATCAAGTTTTACATCAGCGGTGCGACGTGCGCGGCGCGGCCGACTGAAATTGATCGCTTTCTCTTAAAAGTACATAAAAGTGTCGGCCACCGTGGTCCGACACCTGCCATTGATCGACGGTAACCAGATTAATACAGCAATTACTTGTCTGCCGCGACAGTGACGAACGCCTGCAAATACGAAAACGGAAGGTGTAACAAGGACCAGTTGTGTCTGCCGGACGGCCAAGGTGGCAGGACGTGTGCGTGCGCGGACGACGCGGCAGGATGCACCGATTCTCATTAACCAACATAATCGATTGACCAGAATCGAAATCCGGCGACGCGGAACTCGGACGCGAAAGTGAAACAACAACGGAGGCATCGGAGGCTTCGCGTCGGCCGCGATGTGTCACTCATTAAGTTCGCGTGTAAATTATAATAATATTTCTTGATATGTTTAGTTTGTCGTCCACGTTTTCGTGTAACACACTTTTTTTTATCTAATATAACCGCCGCGTGATGCTGGCTGTATGGTGCTGCGGCACGATGCCGCGTTATTTAATAAAAGTTTAAGACATTAGCTGCGACTGATTTTTCACTGTAAACCCTTTCGAGCTTTTATACGGCGCGAGTCGTGTAGCTTGTGCACCCCAAATAACTTTTAAATTGAGCTTCCAATAAAAAAATTGTTAGATATAAAAGCTGTGGAGCTTTTGAACGGGGAAATAACGTATTCGTCGTTTCTGTACATAATGTAGTTTTCGAAATTTCGAGTGCAACTTTCTCGTTTTAAATGGTGAGGTATATTTTTCTCGCCGTAGATCGAAAGAATATTAAATGTATTTAACAATTATCCGTTTTTCAAACAGCCAATTTGACTTTAAAAGTCCAGTTAAACAGGTTAACCAGGTTTACGGTATTCGTCAAAATGACGAGTCGCTAATTTTTCACTTCACGACGACTCAAATGATAAAAATTACATTTATGAGTTATTTTGCATGGTAACACATCGCATTTGTTACCGGCGGTAAATGTTACAATAACACTCGTGAAGAATCAGAATAAATATCTTATTGTTTACAAGCTAATGTAAAACATCTGCATTTAGTTCTTCGTAAATCTAACGTTAATCTATAACGAAATAGCATCGAAAACTTTCTCAAATACAAAACGATAGCAATTTGGTTCGCAAAGAGCGTAAATCAGAGGCACCAAAACCGTCGCAAAAAGCGGACGATTCTGGACAGAGCTAGCGCCCCCGGTATCGCTAATCAAAGAGTTAATAAACGTCCCCGTCGCGTCGTCGGCTAACAAAAAACAATGAAATGCGTAACGAGATTGATTAAATCTTCTACCACTTTATTCAGCAGCGATCCGCTATAAATGCACAAACAGACCGGACTTATCCATACATATTAAAAACCGTCAGATTAATTTCCGCGCGGCTTCCGATTGATTTATCCGGGGAGGCGAGCGCGTCAAGTGGCGTCGCCCTCGGCCGTAAACGGAACTAAGTTAGCCGCACGTTCGAACGAGCACGGAGGAAACGAGCTTACCGCGAGAAAGAATCGGGAAGGGTGATCGTTGGGGGGTGTTGGAGGGGGTCGGGGTGACAAAGCTTAATGTCAGAAACGATGACGGGTGTTACGGTAACGATTTGGCAGACGCCTAGGCAAAGGTGGCGAAGTTGCCGGCGCGGCGTGATAATGAACCGAAGGTTCAGCTTTCGAGCGGAGTTCTTTGTTCGGGCGAATAAATAAACTTCCGGCGTAATAATGCACCGCGAGCCCTCGCCTCGAGGGGGAGACCAATTACCGTGTTCATTATCGCCGTAACAGCCGCCCATTTCATTTTCCCGTCGCTACATTAAGTTAATAAGCAACTACTTAGAGCAGCCTAATAAGAATAACACGGTTGCTAGCCGCGGCGTAAAAATATAGTTCCCTCGTAGCCTACGATCAATTATCTTTTCACAAGGGTGATTAAACGACGGAGAGGAAGCAGCGGAAAACGAGTCAGAGGAGGCCAGGGGGCAGAGACAGAGGGGAGACAGGGTCGTCGGAAAAAGGCAACATCGCCCGCTGGCTCGCAAAAGATTCCGTCGCCGAACGGTCCCGGCAGGACAATTCAATTTTCCTTACCGCGTTCCCTTTGTGTCGCGTTTAATTGGCTGACCGCAAAATCAGACGGGCTGCCGCAGCATCGCGGATGCAACCGGGGCTACAAGCGCACCGAAGACGGTAGATAAGACGGCCATCCGACGAACCGTCAAAGGACATCAAACCTGGCCCCGGTTACCACCCGCGGTGACAAGCATCTCCGAGCAATATGTCTCTCCGAGGGGTTTCCCGTGCATCCAGATCCGCCGGTTAACGGCCTCGGGATCCTGTGAATGGGAGAAAAGTGTCGTTACCAAGCACTCCCGACGAAATTACGCCGGGCATCTTGCCCGCTTCTCGGGGCACGATAAAAAGACCCGAATATCCGCCTTAATATCGGACAGGTTTGTTACACGGATCAAATATTTGACGGAGAAACAAGCGAGACGGGCCCGGCCGAACTTTTTCGGAAGGCAAACAACGCTGCCGAACCCAATATCGAAGAACGCCGGATACCCTCTTCGTGAATATCGATGCGAACTTGCCGGTACTTTGTCCGGAAGCGCTATTTAAACTGGATCCTTCGGCGTGTGCCGATCGCCGGCAATCGACTGATCGATTGGTTGATTGCTCTCCCAGATGCAGCGCTGGGAAACGGTTCTCCCGACGCACGGTGACCAATTCTCACCCCCCCCCCCTCCCAAAAAAAACGTGAACAAACTCGAGGAACTACTTTATTCTCAATTCGATTCGTAGACTGTAATGCAGGTTGTTCTCGCGCATGATCTCGTATTAACAACTCTTTCGATGATAAACCAAATATTAAACGCAACTGGAATGACTTTCCTTGTAAAAACAACGAGATTCTGTACGATCTTTGCTGCAAAATGTGCTCGAATAGAAACATTTATTACATCATTTTCCATACTAACATCATTGTAATTTCAATAATTGCTAACAAATATGAAACCGGCCATTTGATTGCTAATAGCAGTGTAATACTAATCGAAATGACCCAATAGACATTTTTTCGTTCAGAATTGACGAAGCTGTAAAAATTCTTTGATGAGAACTGATTCAACGAATTTCTCATACATTGTAAGAAAAAGGGAAAAATGTCTAAATAAATCTTATCATCCTTGTAAAGCAGCGTACTTAGTAGACTGCGGATTTTTATGCAAAATAAAAATGTTCCTTATCAATTGCAGTAAATAATTATAATATATATATAATTTTAAAAATTGTTCTGATCTTTTAAATTTTTATCTACTAATTTCGACAATCCATGATCAACGCATCAGTCACTTCTGGTGCTACATGGGCTGATGGTTGATTATATTTCAGTTCGAAGTCGATCATCGGAATGTAATAAGCTGCCTTCGAATGTAGAGAGCGAGCATTTTATTAAAAATTTAAGTGTTAAAAAATTGAGAAAGAAAGTACGAAGAATAGCAGTAATTCTGGGTTGGAAAAAGTATCTTAATCTTGATGTTGAAATTGCTTGGTATACAAAAAGTTAATATGGGAATGTAAACGTTAACCGATTGCTTGCCAACCTTTCTTAACTCGCAAGCCACTTTGCAAAGTTTTTTAATTTAGCGGCGACTTCGGGTAAACAGTGCTTGTTCTAAAAATGTCTGAGTGTACTTTCGAGTCTTGGATTTGAAATGGTCGTGCTGGAATACAGTAATGTCTCCCTAATTGACGCTCAGATTCTGCACAAAAATGGACAATTTGGGAAGAGGAGATACGATTATTCGAGCCTTGCGGCTCGTTTTTATAGTTGTTGACGATAACCATAATATAGTTGAATCGATAACCATAAAAAACGAGCCACAAGGCTAAAAAAATCGTATCACCTCTTCCAAAATTGTCCATTTTTGTGGACAATCTCAGCGTCAATTAGAGAGACATTACTGTAACTAGGAAATTTTAATACTTGCGAGTGTGCTATGCATTAGCCTCATCTTCTCCCCCATACAATAAAAGAGTGTATGAAAATTTAGTATACTTGACTATTGAGCAAAATAAAGCTAGCAAATTCGAACAAAAGCAAAGGGAAATGCTAAAGTTTTTAGAATTTTAGACAATTACATAGTAATGTTGCAAAGATATTAGTTTTAGAAAATCTTTCCGACTCTTTTTAGAAATATTCTGTGTAGTTGTTAGACAGTTACGCAGCACGGGGGACGCGAAACTGTCCCGCATCCACTTTTATCGCGAGTCCGATGCATTTAAAGAAAGGAATCAACAAGACGTTCGTCGCTCGTTCGTCGTCGACGAAGGATCCGTCGGACGTCGGCAAAAAGTACCGAACGCCTGCTGGTAATCCCGTAACGAAGCACGGATAATCCAGTGTCGAAGGGGAATTACACTCTTTCGGGACTCGCTGCTCGAGTCTCTTTAGCTGTTCAACGTTGCAGAAATTTTTACGCACGACGACCTCCAGGATTCGCAGACTGTCGCACGATGCGCGAAGCTCGTTTTTTAAATAACGTCCAACTTGAGAAGCAAAAATAAAATTTTAATAATTCTCCTTGTTTCAGTCTTTTTACTTCAATTTCGAAAACTTCAATATTACCTTAACGCGAATAGAAGCATAATCGTTTATTAATTCTCGCATTTTGTTACGTGAGTTTAATTTGAAAATACATATTTATTTTCGACAAGCTTTCCCAATCAGGTGTTCCGTATTAACAGCTTTTACATATTTAACAATGGTAACAAATCCACCGGCTCTAACAGAAAATATCCGACGGAAATTGTAAACGATATCGTTCAAAGAATTGTTTGTACGTGCATTAAAGATGAATGATGTTATCGTACAATTGGTAACGTAAATAGCGTCACACAAGTCTATCGAAATAATGGAATGTTTAAACTTTCATTATTCACAGAAATGAAAATGTTAAAAGATACGAGCTTTTGTATCTTTTTATCATTTCAACCAAGTTTAACTTTTGCAAAAATTTGTTCGATGATTGTTTAGCAAACCAGTTCCTCTAACGTTTCACAAAATAAATTCAAGTCATCTGGTCCAATTTTATTCCGTGTTAAAAAGTGCAAAATGATACACTATTCACTAGTAAAAATAACGAAAGATTTTTAAAAATATGACAAAATATTAGAATTACTACTTGGAACTGTGAAAAAATGACAATAGGAATTCCATCGACAATTGAAAATTGATTGCATAAAGACAGTATCAAAATACAAAATCAGGTTTTTACAGGCTGCTAAAAAAGCTGTTGAAGACTTTGAGTATTTACAGTAGTCCACAAAAGAAGTAAAAAATGATCACTCGACATAAATAGAGAATTTGATTCAGAAGTACATTCAAGGATATCAACACGAAATGATTACACCAGTATCAACCAGGATTCTTTCATAAATGCAAATTTAGTACTAACCTACTTTGTCATTGCAAATTTTATGGTTGGTAGCAGGTTGGTGGATAGGGCGAAGAGGTCCAGTAGAACGG